ACAAAAACTAAACGAATTGAATGTATAAATTGGTTAATTGATAATAGTCAGAAAAAAGCAGAGAAAATAGCCCAAGAGATTGAAAGTTCTCGAAAAAAATTACGCATACCATTACCAATAAAAATAAATGATTTTCAAGATATAGATTCAACAACGACTCCTATAATAATAACAAATAATTTTTTAAAAGAGATTCATCTCGCAAATCGACATCAAACAAAAGATAACGATGAACAAGAACCATCATTAACTTCAGAAGAAGCACGCATAGTTGATATTCATGAGAATTTAAAAAACAATCATGGACTATTTATAATCTTGATCAATTAAATTCGATACAAAAATATATAAAAATTGTTGCAAAAATTATTGATGAAGATCATCATAATATTCAACGATATAGCGATAATGATGATGATGATGATGATGATGAAATCAAATCAAATCGAACAACAAGAGCAAGACAATCGAAACATGATCAAGCCAAAAAATTGTCACTCTAGTCGATTTGTTTGTACGAGATAGAATAGAAAACGAACCAAATAGACCAAAGACATTAGCAGAATCACCAATTAGAAGGCCTATTTCAGGTTATTTATGGTAATTTATATTCAAATTTAACTAATATCTCTATTTTAGGTGCATTAGAAGAAGCGAATTGGGATCCAAATTTATTAACAGCTTTAGATAGAACTGTTCTGAAACGGAAATATAGATATGGTGAGAATTATCGACAATTAGTTGATCGTTTAATAGAACAATGCCGTATTTCTTCTGATGATCAACAATCAAAAGTGCGTGCTGTAGTTGTATGGATTACAAATAATATACGTTATGCTACAGAAATGTCTCCACGTGATAATTCGAAAGATGACAATGAAACTGATATGGATGAATTGCGTCATTTAATACTTCAAACATCGTCATGTGTTTGTGTTGGTTATGCAATACTTTTCAAACGCATGTGTCAACATTTAAATATCCAAGTTGATTACGTTACTGGTTATACAAAACTAACGAAATCTTGTATTAATGATACAGCTAAT